CTATTATAAACGGTGCTGCGATGAACATTGGGGTGCACGTGTCTCTTTCAGATCTGGTTTCCTCGGCGTGTATGCCCAGAAGTGGGATTGCTGGATCATAGGGCAGTTCTGTTTCCAGTTTTTTAAGAAATCTCCACACTGTTTTCCATAGCGGCTGTACTAGTTTGCATTCCCACCGACAGGGTAAGAGGGTTCCCTTTTCTCCACACCCTCTCCAGCATTTATTGCTTGTAGACTTTTTGGATAGCAGCCATCCTGCCTGGCGTGTAATGGTACCTCATTGTGGTTTTGATTTGCATTTCTCGGATAATGAGTGATGTTGAGCATCTTTTCATGTGTCTTTTAGCCATCTGTATGCCTTCCTTGGAGAAATGTCTGGTTAGCTCTTTGGCCCATTTTTTGATTGGGTCATTTATTTTCTGGAGTTGAGCTGGAGGAGTTGCTTGTATATTTTTGAGATTAATCCTTTGTGTGTTGCTTCGTTTGCTGTTATTTTCTCCCAATCTGAGGGCTGTCCTTTCACCTCGCTTATAGTTTCTTTGTCGTGCAAAAGCTTTTAAGTTTCATTAGGTCCCATTTGTTAATTTTCGCTTTTGTTTCTAATACTCTGGGATCCTGCTGTGATTTATGTCGGAGAGTGTTTTGCCTGTGTTCTCCTCTAGGAGTTTTATGGTTTCTGGTCTTAACGTTTAGATCTTTAATCCATTTTGAGTTTATTTCTGTGTATGGTGTTAGACGGTGTTCTCGTTTCATTCTTTTCCAGGTGGCTGACCAGTTTTCCCAGCACCGCTTGTTAAAGAGGTTGTCTTTTTTTCCACTGTATATCCTTGCCTCCTTTGTCGAAGATAAGGTGACCATAGGTTCGTGGATTTATCTCTGGGCTTTCTGTTCTGTTCCATTGATCTATATTTCTGTCTTTGTGCCAGTACCATACTGTCTTGATGACTGTGGCTTTGTGGTATAGTCTGAAGACAGGCAGGTTGATTCCTCCAGTTCCATTCTTCTTTCTCAAGATTCCTTTGGCTATTCGAGGTGTTTTGCATTTCCATACAAATTGTGAAATTATTTGCTCTAGTTCTCTGAAAGCTGCCGTTGGTAGCTTGATAGGGATTGCATTGAATCTGTAGATTGCTTTGGGTACTATAGCCATTTTGACAATATTGAGAATCCCTGTTTTTCAACAACAGAATGAATCAAATCATTGAGTGCAGCAGCTCTGAGGTTACTGTTACAGCTCACATTAAGGCAAGATGGATCAAGGTAACTGTTGGTTTGTTTGTTTTTTTAGCCCTTGGAGACAATCCAGTAGATGCTGTCTTAAATTTACCTAGAACTCTTGAAGGAAGAATTTTAAGGACCTCAGGAAGGTCCTGTGCTTGGCGGGTGGCGTGGCGAGGAGGGGGGCCGCGGTCGGGCGAAGGGGCAGGGCTGAGGCGCTCGGGTGGACCACGCTGGTGGCTCCCAGTGGGTTTGGGCCCCGGGCAGGTGCCGGGCAGGATGGGCGCTCAGGGCCCCGGCTGCGCTCCGCCTATGCCCGAGGGAGGCTCAGAGGACCGAGGGCCGCGGTCCGCGGCGGGCCCGAATCAGACACCTCCGGGGCCACGTGGCCCTGAGCCACGAACGGGAGTGGGCCGGGGGGTTGGGGGGCGCTGACAGGGGGCGGGCCTGGAGAGGCCCAGGGCGGGAGGGCGCCGAGACCTCCGCACCCCTCACCCCAACCCCAAGCCCAGGCATGCACGCCCGACCGGCCGCTCGGGGTCCCGGAAACACTCCGGGCCCCCGGGCCGGGCCAGGTTTGCTGGCCAGGGTTGCCGGTGTGTGGGGACTGGGAGGCTTCGGCCGGGCTGCCGGCCCTGGCCGGCGCGCCCCGTGGAAAGGTGCGGCCGGCTGGCTCGACACGGCACATCAGAGCGAAAAGCAGGCGCAGCGCAGGGTTTTTAAAGGCGCCTGGCGGCAACCGCCTCCATCTAAGATCATACCACCCTGAACGGGCCAGATGTCTTCTGATCGGGGAAACTAAGCAGGGTTAGTTAGTACTTGGATGGGAGACCCCCTAGTAGTTAGGAGCTCCAGGCTTTTGCACAAAGTAGACGACAAGCCAATGCAGAGGTGATGAAAAGTTTATCGTGAAAAATCCAATTCAACCTGAATTCAAGGATGGTTTATGGCATAAAAGCAAGTGTTTTCCATTAGGTTCCCCCCCACCCCCCATTAACTTGCATAATGGTTGCCATTAGCATAATGCTTAGTTTTTATTCCTTCTTTCCTTGTCTATATCCATCTTTTTGCACCATCATGTGGTGCCTTATTGGCATAATTTTCCGCCTTTTGTCTTCCCATAATGCTGCTGGAGGAGACAGATGGACTCCAGGTTAGGCATTTACATCTAGCCTGTTTACATTTCCTGAGGCAAGCGATGGTTGGGCTCCAGTTGAGCCTTTACAGTCAGTGTCCTGCTTGCCCTGTGAAATGGAAGTAACAACCGAAAGAGGGTAAATAACCAGTGTCTGTCTCTCATGAACACTTTAGTAGCCATGACAAGGGCAAAGAGGGACAAAATCCTGCTTGAGTCAAGGATGAAGAGATCTCCCCTCCCCCCACCCCCCTTGTGGGAGAAGGGAAACACTACACATGCGCAGAGAGGCTCCTTGTGGGTGAAAAGTCCCGCGAAAGTGCCAGACCATGATGAGCCTTGCTTCTCCCAGAAGCCTCCACTTGGAGATCCATCTTGGCTGAGGGGTATGTGCACACCAGGGCAGAGGCCCAGGATAGGTCAGATGTGAAGAAAGAAACCAGAAACTTGGCAGGAAGGAAGACAAAGACCCAGAAGAACTGGCCTATATAAAGGACTTCACCACCTCGTGGTTATTGTGCTCCTTGTCACCAGGGGGCGCCCATAACCTTTCTCTCCAGGTGTGTGTCTCTGCTTTGCTTCTGTGGTAACTAGACCAGCTGTTCCTCCGTGTTCTTTCCCACGTGTTGCTGTGCTGTGTCTCTGATAATAAACGTTGTACCTGCATGTAGCGATTCTGCCTCCATGATGAATGCATTTTTCACTGGTCAAAGATCCAGGGAAACTTGGCTTCTGGCCTCTAGCCCTTGCTGGTCTGGTGGCTAGGATTCCTGGTTTTCGTTCAGGCTACCCGGGTTCAGTTCCTGGGCAGCGAATTAGATCTCACTTCACGCCACCACTCACTGCTGCCTCACTGAGATCAACTCAATTTTTATCACCATTTAATCTACATCATATGAATTTTTGCAACTTTTCGAGAAAGGACTTCCTAGGAATTAACATACTGATATTTCCATAAGGGGGAAATACTTCTTCCCTAAAACTGCATTGAGAAGATTTGCACTTAAGAAAATGTGTTTTAATGTAGCGGAATTACTATTTTGTCTTTACACTCTAGCAGTTGTTAAATCCTTAGCTGCCAAGAACTGTTCAGGCTTCCCTGGTGGCTCAGCTGGTGAGGAATCCACCTGCAGTGCAGGAGACCTGGGTTCGATCCCTGGGTTGCAAAGACCCCCTGGAGAAGGGAAACGGCTACCCACTCTAGTATTCTGGCCTGGAGAATTCCATGGACTGTACAGTCCATGCGTTCGCAGAGTCAGACATGACAGAGCGACTTTCACTGTTCACCAGCAACGGTTCGGCCTGAGATAAGAACTTTCAAAAATCTTTGAACACAGACGCTCTAACTTATTTTCCCTCTGGGATAAATATTTTGCATTTACTTTTAGGTCATATAGACACAATAGGCAGAGAACTCTCTTATCATGTATTTTATTTGCATGTAAATTAACATCCTAGAAACTTTAAAGTAGAAACACTAAATACAGTATTGCACAGAGTATTAATCTGTGTTAAATGCCCCATTATCTCACTGAAGTTCCTATACGCATGCAGGGACTGAAGGAGACAGGAAGATGGCAGAAGAGCAACCCGAGAGCCACTACTGTGTCTGGGCACATCAACTACAGACTGCAAGGTAAGGACAGTATTTTACAGAAATAGAAACATAGTTACAATTCAGATTTCCTTTTTAAGTTGCCTCCTTAATTGGTTTGCAGTAGCAACAGATTCTCCCCTTTTTTCATAGCCATTCCCCAACACATATCATTTTAAAAAATCTATTAATGTTAGACAAAGCCATCACAGTGCTTCAGGAGTGACTTCAAGAAAACTCCAATCAAGTCACAGTACTCAGGCAGGTGGGTTTAATAGAGAAGTCCTAGGTAGATATCAATGCATCTGAAAGTGGGCAGTAATGTTTGAACACATCTAGGATTTCCTTTTAAACACAAGCTCCAAGGAAACAGTACTGAATTGACCAGAGGAACAGTAAAAAGAGGACATCACTGGAAGGGAGTTTACACTGCCAGTCTGGCCCTGTGGTCTGGCGCTGGGGTAGCATCTGCTCGCTTGGCCCCTGTGTCCCTCAGGGAGGTCACGGGCTCAAGAGTGCAGAACAGCGGAGAAGCTGCTCCTGGCTCTTGGCCTCGCCGAGGAGCTGGGGAGGCCCCCACAGGCGCTGGGCCGCCTCCCGGCAGGGTGGGTGACTCCTGCAGTCAGCTTTGCACAGGTCTCTGAGACCCAGGCAGGGAAGGGCCGGCCGATACACACGCAGGCACCAAGGGGGCTGCATGATGAGGTGCTAGATAGGATGAGCTCTGGAGGATGCGGCCCCCACGGTCCTGGACAGTCTCTGCATGGCGGCCCATCTGGTGCCAAACACCTGCCACCCATAGTGGGAGGTCTCAGGGGCTAGAGAGTCCGGGAGGGGTCATGTGCTGGGCCCCGCCCTTTGCCCCAGAGTTTGCCACGTGCCCTCACAGCACAATGGCTCTGTGATGCGTACACCATGGACATGTCACAAATGCCAGGCTGAGTCCTCCTCCCTCCAGTGCGTGTCTGACCCTGAGAGGAGTAAGAAGCTAGGGAGACACTCTCCCAGTTTCACATTCTATTCTCGGGTTATTTGGCGCACAATCTGTCCTATATGGGCAATTTCCTGTGTAAACTTCTTTCCACGCTCCGCCGCCGGCGCCCGCGGGGCTGGCGCTCGCTGGCTTTGCGCCCTCGGGGTGCCACCACATCTGGCCGGGGCCACCCCGCTGCCCCAGCTCCTGCTTTACAACCTGGTCGCAGGCTGCTCAACCAGGATCGAGTGCCCTCATCATCCGGCTTTTACTGCGCGCCGAAAAGGTGGTACCCAATCCAGCAGGCTGGGTACTCCCGGGTAGGCGCCCTACCCCTGGTGAACTTGAGGGAGCGGCCGAATCAGCAGCCCGTCCTGTCTACTCGTAATTCCATGAGGTGTGGACCTTCGATAACCCTCAGAATTCCTCCACTGGGGCGCAAAATTCCTCTCCTGCATTCACTCCCTGAGCTACCTCTTCAGGTAGCCAAGGCTGGGAGGCCGGTACCAACCAGTCCCCGCCCACTTCCTTGTGCAAAGGAGAGCAAGGCGATGGTCCAGGAAGAGCGCAGGGAAGGCATGACAGCGGAGGAAGGTCACACGGAGGCCGAAGGAGAGGACGACGGAAAGGTGAGTCCGGAGCGCAGCGGGGCTACGACAGTGACACCGAGGCCCCCGGAGACCGGCGGGCTCCTCCCGCCCCTCCAGTGCAGTCCCGAGCCTCCAAACCTCCTTCCGGGGCACCCAGAAGACAACTTCAGTGAGAAAGCCCAGGTGTCTCGGACGAAGCCTTCCTCCCAAAGCCCCGCCATGTGCTCAGACGGCACTGCTGGAGACGGCCGGCCTCCCTCGCAGCCTGGCCCCCTGGCCGCGGTGCTCTCTGCCCCAAGTCCGTGCTGCAGCCTGCTGCCCGAGAGGCCAGTAGAAGTGGTGCTGGGTGAAGACCACCAACCCGGCTCCCCAGAGTTACTGATGTCCGGGAAGGCGCTGCAGCGTGAGCCACCTTCAGACACCCCGCAGAGAAGCTCTTCTCCCCTGGGAGCTGCCGGCAGTCGGCGCCCCTGCAAGAGAACGATGCCCCCTCCGCTTTCTCTGTCACTGCCGCCACTGCTGCCGCCGCTGCCACCGCCGCTGCCACTCCCGCTGCCGCTGCCCTGGGGTCGCAGTGACCTTCCCCCGCCCCCGAAGCTTCCAGGCATGACTCGCGCCAAAACCCGGTGCACCCGAAAACAAAACATGGACCGTCAGCGCAACAGAATCCTGAAAGATGCAAGGAAGGCCATGCGATGCCGCAGCGCCGCCCCGCCTGCCCCAGGGACCACAGGGACCACAGGCTCCATGCCTCCGGTCAGTCTGTTGCAGGTCCCTCCTACCACCACTGACTTGGCCAACCTGTCGTCCAGATTCCCCAGTCTGGCTGGCCTTCCACCTTCTATGGATCCGGTGGCAAGACACACAGCCCCCGTGGACTCTCATTCTGCTAGTCCTGCTCTTCCTTCAGTTTCCAATCCCATTGTGGGAATTACCCTCAAGAAGGATGCAGGTACTCCGAGTTCAGTCAGAGCAACACCACCTGTTATTTCTGACCTCTCCAAACCTGTGAGCACCCCAACCCTCCCCTTCCAGCCACCCTCCTACAAAAGTGAATCCCCAACACCCATGTGTGTAGATTCTCCCCCTCCCTTACTCACCCCTCTTCCAAACCATCCCATTGCTCCCCCTGATCCAACTAAGCAGCCCATCACTTCCACTGTGGTCCCTTTTACCACCACAGTCACAGCATCTGCAAGTGTAACCTTCCAGTCTCCTCCAGATCAGGACGTCACTGACATGGACACTACCCCCCCTTCGCAGGCTGTAATTCTTCAGTCTTCCCCAGGTATTGGGGGGCAGCAGACACACACTGCAGGGAGACCAGACACCACCAGCTCATTTGTGCCGATGGTCTCTTCAATTTTTAACTATGCCTTTCACTCCCAAACCAACACTCAGCCTGCATTTGCAGCTACTGATGGGCAGCAGAGAGCCTCTGTTTTTCCCGGGCCCCCATCTGGGGGTCAGGCTGCCGCCTTTCCCGGGCCCTCATCTGGCCCTCCTGCTGCTGCCTTCCCCGGGCCCTCATCTGGGTATCAGGCTGCCGCCTTCCCCGGGCCCTCATCTGGCGCTCCTGCTACCGCCTTGCCCGGGCCCTCGTCTGGCGCTCCTGCTGCCGCCTTGCCCGGGCCCTCGTCTGGCGCTCCTGCTGCCGCCTTGCCCGGGCCCTCGTCTGGCGCTCCTGCTGCCGCCTTGCCCGGGCCCTCGTCTGGCGCTCCTGCTGCCGCCTTGCCCGGGCCCTCGTCTGGCGCTCCTGCTGCCGCCTTGCCCGGGCCCTCGTCTGGCGCTCCTGCTGCCGCCTTGCCCGGGCCCTCGTCTGGCGCTCCTGCTGCCGCCTTGCCCGGGCCCTCGTCTGGCGCTCCTGCTGCCGCCTTGCCCGGGCCCTCGTCTGGCGCTCCTGCTGCCGCCTTGCCCGGGCCCTCGTCTGGCGCTCCTGCTGCCGCCTTGCCCGGGCCCTCGTCTGGCGCTCCTGCTGCCGCCTTGCCCGGGCCCTCGTCTGGCGCTCCTGCTGCCGCCTTCCCCGGGCCCTCGTCTGGCGCTCCTGCTGCCGCCTTCCCCGGGCCCTCGTCTGGCGCTCCTAATGCCAACTTCCACGGGCCCTCGTCTGGCGCTCCTGCTGCCGCCTTCCCCGGGCCCTCGTCTGGCGCTCCTGCTGCCGCCTTCCCCGGGCCCTCGTCTGGCGCTCCTGCTGCCGCCTTCCCCGGGCCCTCATCTGGGTATCAGGCTGCCGCCTTCCCCGGGCCCTCATCTGGGTATCAGGCTGCCGCCTTCCCTGGGCCCTCATCTGGGTATCAGGCTGCCGTCTTCCCCGGGCCCTCATCTGGGTATCAGGCTGCCGCCTTTCCCGGGCCCTCATCTGGGTATCAGGCTGCCGCCTTCCCCGGGCCCTCATCTGGCGCTCCGGCTGCCGCCTTCCCCGGGCCCTCATCTGGGTATCAGGCTGCCGCCTTCCCTGGGCCCTCATCTGGCGCTCCTGCTGCCGCCTTCCCCGGGCCCTCATCTGGCACTCCTGCTGCCGCCTTCCCCGGGCCCTCATCTGGTTATCAGGCTGCCGCCTTGCCCGGGCCCTCGTCTGGCGCTCCTGCTGCCGCCTTGCCCGGGCCCTCGTCTGGCGCTCCTGCTGCCGCCTTCCCCGGGCCCTCGTCTGGCGCTCCTGCTGCCGCCTTCCCCGGGCCCTCGTCTGGCGCTCCTGCTGCCGCCTTGCCCGGGCCCTCGTCTGGCGCTCCTGCTGCCGCCTTGCCCGGGCCCTCGTCTGGCGCTCCTGCTGCCGCCTTCCCCGGGCCCTCGTCTGGCGCTCCTGCTGCCGCCTTCCCCGGGCCCTCGTCTGGCGCTCCTGCTGCCGCCTTCCCCGGGCCCTCGTCTGGCGCTCCTGCTGCCGCCTTGCCCGGGCCCTCGTCTGGCGCTCCTGCTGCCGCCTTCCCCGGGCCCTCATCTGGGTATCAGGCTGCCGCCTTCCCCGCGCCCTCATCTGGGTATCAGGCTGCCGCCTTCCCCGGGCCCTCATCTGGGTATCAGGCTGCCGCCTTTCCCGTGCCCTCATCTGGGTATCAGGCTGCCGCCTTCCCCGGGCCCTCATCTGGCGCTCCGGCTGCCGCCTTCCCCGGGCCCTCATCTGGGTATCAGGCTGCCGCCTTCCCTGGGCCCTCATCTGGCGCTCCTGCTGCCGCCTTCCCCGGGCCCTCATCTGGCACTCCTGCTGCCGCCTTCCCCGGGCCCTCATCTGGTTATCAGGCTGCCGCCTTCCCCGGGCCCTTGTCTGGCGCTCCTGCTGCCGCCTTCCCCGGGCCCTCGTCTGGCGCTCCTGCTGCCGCCTTCCCCGGGCCCTCGTCTGGCGCTCCTGCTGCCGCCTTCCCCGGGCCCTCGTCTGGCGCTCCTGCTGCCGCCTTGCCCGGGCCCTCTTCTGGCGCTCCTGCTGCCGCCTTGCCCGGGCCCTCGTCTGGCGCTCCTGCTGCCGCCTTCCCCGGGCCCTCGTCTAGCGCTCCTGCTGCCGCCTTGCCCGGGCCCTCGTCTGGCGCTCCTGCTGCCGCCTTCCCCGGGCCCTCGTCTGGCGCTCCTGCTGCCGCCTTCCCCGGGCCCTCATCTGGGTATCAGGCTGCCGCCTTCCCCGCGCCCTCATCTGGGTATCAGGCTGCCGCCTTCCCCGGGCCCTCATCTGGCGCTCCTGCTGCCGCCTTCCCCGGGCCCTCATCTGGGTATCAGGCTGCCGCCTTCCCTGGGCCCTCATCTGGCGCTCCTGCTGCCGCCTTCCCCGGGCCCTCATCTGGCGCTCCTGCTGCCGCCTTCCCCGGGCCCTCATCTGGGTATCAGGCTGCCGCCTTCCCTGGGCCCTCATCTGGCGCTCCTGCTGCCGCCTTCCCCGGGCCCTCATCTGGCGCTCCTGCTGCCGCCTTCCCCGGGCCCTCATCTGGGTATCAGGCTGCCGCCTTCCCCGGGCCCTCGTCTGGCGCTCCTGCTGCCGCCTTGCGCGGGCCCTCGTCTGGCGCTCCTGCTACCGCCTTGCCCGGGCCCTCGTCTGGCGCTCCTGCTGCCGCCTTGCCCGGGCCCTCGTCTGGCGCTCCTGCTGCCGCCTTGCCCGGGCCCTCGTCTGGCGCTCCTGCTGCCGCCTTGCCCGGGCCCTCATCTGGCGCTCCTGCTGCCGCCTTGCCCGGGCCCTCGTCTGGCGCTCCTGCTGCCGCCTTCCCCGGGCCCTCATCTGGGTATCAGGCTGCCGCCTTCCCCGGGCCCTCATCTGGGTATCAGGCTGCCGCCTTCCCCGGGCCCTCATCTGGGTATCAGGCTGCCGCCTTCCCCGGGCCCTCATCTGGGTATCAGGCTGCCGCCTTCCCCGGGCCCTCATCTGGGTATCAGGCTGCTGCCGCCTTCCCAGGGCCCTCATCTGGTTATCAGGCTGCCGCCTTCCCCGGGCCCTCGTCTGGCACTCCTGCTGCCGCCTTCCCCGGGCCCTCGTCTGGCGCTCCTGCTACCGCCTTCCCCGGGCCCTCGTCTGGCGCTCCTGCTGCCGCCTTGCCCGGGCCCTCGTCTGGAGCTCCTGCTGCCGCCTTGCCCGGGCCCTCGTCTGGCGCTCCTGCTGCCGCCTTGCCCGGGCCCTCGTCTGGCGCTCCTGCTGCCGCCTTGCCCGGGCCCTCGTCTGGCGCTCCTGCTGCCGCCTTCCCCGGGCCCTCGTCTGGCGCTCCTGCTGCCGCCTTCCCCGCGCCCTCGTCTGGCGCTCCTGCTGCCGCCTTCCCCGGGACCTCGTCTGGCGCTCCTGCTGCCGCCTTCCCCGGGCCCTCATCTGGGTATCAGGCTGCCGCCTTCCCCGCGCCCTCATCTGGGTATCAGGCTGCCGCCTTCCCCGGGCCCTCATCTGGGTATCAGGCTGCCGCTTTCCCCGGGCCCTCATCTTGGTATCAGGCTGCCGCCTTTCCCGGGCCCTCATCTGGGTATCAGGCTGCCGCCTTCCCCGGGCCCTCATCTGGCGCTCCTGCTGCCGCCTTCCCCGGGCCCTCATCTGGGTATCAGGCTGCCGCCTTCCCCGCGCCCTCATCTGGGTATCAGGCTGCCGCCTTCCCCGGGCCCTCATCTGGGTATCAGGCTGCCGCTTTCCCCGGGCCCTCATCTTGGTATCAGGCTGCCGCCTTTCCCGGGCCCTCATCTGGGTATCAGGCTGCCGCCTTCCCCGGGCCCTCATCTGGCGCTCCTGCTGCCGCCTTCCCCGGGCCCTCGTCTGGCGCTCCTGCTGCCGCCTTCCCCGGGCCCTCGTCTGGCGCTCCTGCTGCCGCCTTCCCCGGGCCCTCGTCTGGCGCTCCTGCTGCCGCCTTCCCCGGGCCCTCGTCTGGCGCTCCTGCTGCCGCCTTGCCCGGGCCCTCGTCTGGCGCTCCTGCTGCCGCCTTCCCCGGGCCCTCGTCTGGCGCTCCTGCTGCCGCCTTCCCCGGGCCCTCGTCTGGCGCTCCGGCTGCCGCCTTCCCCGGACCCTCGTCTGGCGCTCCGGCTGCCGTCCTCCCCGGGCCCCCACCTGGGAATCAGGCTGCTGCCTTCCCTGGGCCCCCACCTGGGACTCCTGCTGGTGTCTCCCTTGGGCCCCCATCTACGGCCTTGGGTCCTCTCCTCCCCGGCCGCACTATGTAGGACTCCAGCCAGTGTCTCCCCCACCCCTCCACCTAGGGTTCCGTCCACTCTCTCCCCTAGCCCCCATCCACAGCTTTTGGTCCTGTCTTCCCTGGCCCCTCTCCATGGCGTTGGCTGTTTCCCTCAGTCCCCAAATTACGGCTTTAGGTCCTGCCTCCCCCAGCCCCCCACCTATGGATGCAACTCCTGTTTTCCCCAAACACCCATCTATGGCTCCAGCTCCTGTTTTCCCCAAACCCCCACCTATAGCTCCAGCTCCTGTTTTCCCCAAACCCCCACCTATGGCTCCAGCTCCTGTTTTCCCCAAACCCCCATCTATGGCTCCAGTTCCTGTTTTCCCCAGCCCCCCATCTATGGCTCCAGCTCCTGTTTTCCCCAAACCCCCATCTATGGCTCCAGCTCCTGTTTTCCCCAAACCCCCACCTATGGCTCCAGCTCCTGTTTTCCCCAGCTCCCCATCTATGGCTCCAGCTCCTGTTTTCCCCAAACCCCCACCTATGGCTTCGGCAGTTATCTATGCTTCAGCAGTCAGCATCTCTACAGATGTCAAACCAATGCTTTGACATCAAAGTCGTCCTCAGAATTGACTTTCCAGTCTACCTCTGACTCCAAAGAGAAGCACTACTGAGATCACATGGCCGTTCCTGGTTCTGAGAACACAGCACCCAGTGGCAGCAATGCCTGGACCCAAGCCTCGACAGACTTACCTGTTCAGTTGATCAACAGCTTCAAGTGAAGCTTGAAACCCAGAACTCACCATTCAACCCACATCTGGGGCCAACAATAGGAAGAAGCCTAACAAGTCTATTTCACTGGGAAACCCATTAGCCCTAGCACAAGATAAAAAGCTAACCTCTTCTGCAGTCCAGCCACCCCAAGGAAGGATAATGGATTCAGGTTTACCAGATCGCCTGTCTTCCACCACCACCATCAACATGCAGGCGGCCTTTGCTAACAGCTCAGGTATTTTCCCCAGGGATGTATCTGCTACTTCTGGTTTTGGAGTGGATACTACAGTGCCCAGTACTGGAGACAGTAGCTTGCTGTCTGCTAGTACCACATCAGGCCCACTGTTGATGGGACCTGCAGCCTCTATGGCTGGTGGGAGTTTTGGGTTGGTGTGAATGCCCTAGGCCTCACTTATTCAGAAGCATCTGGCCCACCTAACTTTTGGACAGAACTGTGTGGGACACCCAGCACCACCTGTGTTCCTACTGTGGCCAGATCACCTTGGGGTCATCTCATTGCAGGTGCCTGCTGCAGTGGCAAGGGCAAGCCACCATCCAGCATCCGGGCACATATCTGGTTCCAGCTTGAATCCAGACGCCTGGGGTCTCCTGGAGCCAAGTCCAGGTGGCAGAGGCACGGCAGGGGACACCACCATCCTTATGGTTAGAGGTCGGGGTGTTACCACTTCCCATCACCGCACCCAGGACCCACGTGAGTGTAGAAAATCCACAGTTAAAAATCCAATCACCGTGAAGAAGAAATTTGTGTCAAGGGACAAGTCAATTTCAACTTTTCACCAGAACAACACTGCATCCATTGGATTTGTAAGTGTGAGACCCACCCCTGGCTTGAAACCCACTAGAAGTTCCACCTTATTTTCAAACACAAGGGGTCCACCTGTCCAAGATCCAAGTGGTGGTGGTATAGGAGGGAACGTCATCATTCCCAGGAATGGAGGACCTGGTATCCACACTTCCCATCAGTGTATTGGACCCACCTGGCCAATACACCATGGGTGAATGCCAGGAGCCGTTATGGGAGGTCCCGCCCGTGATGAGGTCATGAAGAAAATACCGGGTGGGCAAGGCCATCCGGGACCCCATCCATGACGAGGTCACGAGGAAAAATCCTCACAGCAAGGCCATCTAGGATAAGGGACCCTCCAGGTTGGCCTCGGCCTCTACCCCACCCTGTATCCTCCCCCCATTTTTCTGCTGCTGTTCTTGTTTGCCCTGCTGCAGATTCTTGTGTTGCCTGCCGAGAGCTCTCCTGCTCCTCTTTCACTGAATAAACACCAACTTAAAACCCTAATTAATAAATCTCCTGGATGCTGGTACCCTATGAAGGGGCCAGGGATGAAGGAAATGCTTCAGTTCAAACCCTTTTGCTGGCATTCTGGCTTGTTTGATAAATGTGTGCTCTTATTGCACAAAATGCTCATGATTGTTCTAAACATCCTAAGTGCAGTAGGCTAACAAAAGAAACTATTAAGCATAGGCCCCTTCATGGGGTGAGAGAAGCTCCACAAACATGATAGCCACAAATGTGCCTCATAGAAAATACTTTAGGTAGGGATTAGCTGGCGACTTCTTGCACGTAGTTAACTTTTAGACTAAGAGCCTGTTTTGTGCCATATCTGCTGTTTTTGCAGTCCTTCGCATTTCTGTTCTGTAAAAATGTAATCCTATCTAGTTCCCATAGAGATGACGCTTATTAGAAAGAAAATAGATTAATTATAAGAAAAACAGGGTCGGCTACTGAAGTTGCTTAAGTCACACCAGGTGCAAGCCATAAAATGTTAGCAGGCCTGAAGGCCAAATGATAAGAAAGACTCTTGTGAACGAAAATATGTGGGTGACATCCAGTTTCTGTTGAAGGTCAAGCTGCTGTCATGTTTTGAGATGACCTGTGTGTAAGCAATATGCACGTCCCCCAAAGATGTTAAGGGTATAGAGGAGCCGTGCAGAAAGAAACTGCAGACTCAGCCCCGAGCTCTGTCTCACTCTCTCTCATTCGCCCACGCCGTTCATCCTGAGGGCTCCCCTGGGTCCTGCCGGGGCTGGGCCCCGGCAGGTGAACGCATGGAAGGAGCTGCATCTCATCTAGGGTGGGAGGCCCCAGTGTCAGCACTGCCACTGGGCTCGGAACTCATATCTGCAAAGCACAGAGCGGGTGATGGGGGCCAGCACCTCACCCGCTGTGACTGGGTACACTTCTGGTGTTCCGTTCATACAAAGCACCCAGGCCTCCCCAGCCCAAACCCACGTAGTACGATGGGGGATAGCACCATATATATTTAGAGAGGAACATCTGTACTCGGAACTCCTGGGACCCCAACTCAGGGCACACCTCTGACTGGAGGAGCACAATGTTGTGTTTAGCGGCTCCTGGTCAGGGAAGCTGCGTCTGTGCTCTGGGTCTGTTACTTTCATCACCTGCCCAGGATTTCACTGGAGCATTAGCAAACTCCTTTCTTCTGTGAAGAAACTCAGAGAATAAAGAGCATATCTTGTTTTGCAGATTCTGTGCAACGATGAACGGGCTTTGCTGGAAAACAACTCCGTCCATTTAAGTGAAACTGTTAACCTGCTTTCTTCCTCCAATGAGCCAAAGGACCATACTCTCAGCGGTGTGCATGAGTAGGTGTGTGTTGTATGTGCATGGTGAGGAATGTGGGTGTGTGTGTGTTGCAGGGTGACAAGCATATGCACCCAGTTCAGAACTACATACCAGAATTGAGAAGTTCCATTTGGAAGATGGAAAATAACCTGCATGTATCATCCACTATGCCACCCCTCGTTTGACTGTAAACTCGGACAACCAAACTTCTGGCTGTGTTCCCTACACTTGGAACTGGCAAGTTCTACTGCTGTCTTTAGCTGCTTTCTCTCCCCCTACCCATTTGCCTCAATGGACCCTTATTTTTCCCAGCGTTACGTACAAATATGTATGTATGTAATTTATATATAAGTAAAAACTCATTCTTGTTAATCTACTACTGTTTATGTGTCTTTACTCATTGATATATATGAGTCATGATGTGTTGAGGAAGACTTAAGGTTGCAGAATTTTCTGGGTCCCAGTGACTGGGTTGTGGAGCTAGGCGTACATTATGACCATGTGTGCTGACTTCTGAAATCTGCTTTGGGTGTAAGCAGTGACAGTCCAGGGAGCACTAAGGTCCAGAGGAGGGAGAGACGGGGCAACTCATCCTTACTTCTCTGTGTCTCTCTCCCCCTGCACCACTCTAACCACACTAGAGGCTAGATGTGTGAAGAGGAAACACACTTTATGGTTTTCATTTTTGAAAATGTTTACATGTCTCTTTTGTGCATCTTTTTATCCAATTGAAACTTAGGCCAGTCATCTTTGTATGTTCCCACTTCACCCAGAGAGGATGGATTTTATATCCAGGTTCATGTGTCTGGAGAAACAAAGGAAGAGTCCATGCCTGCTCTGTAATTGTTGAAAATTTAAGTCTACTTCAAGTTTATCATACTGCTTAAAGTATCAGAACAGATTCTCTTCAATAACTGGCTTGACTCTGAGATAGGCTGCGAAAATACCAAACATAAGAGTTATAACTGTGTCCAGTTCTTGCAGACCCTGGAGTTCTGCTGGGCCTCCACTAGGTTCAATAAAGGCAAAACTCCTGACTCTCTGTAGCCTGTCCTCTAGTCAGAGGGGAGAACAGAAATCAATGTAAATTATCTGACAAGTTGGTGGTGTGGTTTAGTTGCTAAGTTGTGTCAGACTCTTTGCAACCCCAGGGACTGTAGCCCACCTGTAGGCTCCTCTGTCCACAGGATTTCCCAGGCAAGAATACTGGAATGGGTTGCCATTTCCTTCTCCAGGGGATCTTCCTGACCCAGATATTGGACCAGGTCTCCTGCATTGCAGGTGGATTCTTCACTGACTGAGCCGCCAGGGAAGCCTGGGAACAAATGCAGTAGAGATCAAGCAGTGTATGGGGAACTGACCTTGTGGGCAGAGAAACAAGGCTTTCCAGTTAAACAGTAGAACAGGATAAGTCTTACTGGGAAGGTGGAATTTGAACAGTGTAGCGGGAGGCAACTGAGTCAGATATCTGAGGAAAAAGCATTCCAGATAATGGGAATAACCTCTCCAAGGCCCAGAAGAAGGACACCAGTGTCCTAAGGGAAAAGCTAGTAAATAATGTGGCTGGAATAAAGTCAGAAGGTGGGAAGGGAGAAGAGAAGAGGAAAGGAGGATGGAGAAGATGTGGATTGAATTGTGGCATCATCATTTATGGATTGTGTGATCACAAAGTTAATTCAACCTTCAAATGTTTCAGTGAAATCAGTGATTTTCCAATGGCCAATTTACCTCACACGAGTTTTGGAAGGATAAAATAACACAGGGAAATGAATTATAAGCCACTGTTATTATTCTACACATAAAGACAGATAGACAGAGACAGATATAGAGAGTTAAGACTGAATTCTTTTGTCCCCCTCCACAGATTCATATATTGAAGCCCTATCCCCTTATGTGTGATGGAATTAGGAGATGGAGTTTTTAGGAGGTAACTAGGTTTAGAAGAGGCCATGAGGTAGAGCTGTCATGATGGGATTAGCTCTTATAAGAAACATAAAAAATACTAAAACTTTCTCTCTCCATCATGTGAGGAGGACACAGCAAGAAGATGGCCATCTACAAGCCAAAAATGGAGGACTCACCTGGAAGTAGATCTGCCCTGATCTTAGACTTCCCAGAAGTGTGAAATGTCTCTTGTTTAAGCCACTTAGTCTATGCTATTCTGTTAGAGCAGCCTGAGCAGACTAATACAGGCAGGTGAGTAGGGAAAGGATGACTGATAGCTACATAGATGGAGATAGAGCATGCATGTATACTTAATGAATTACTTCAAATGTCTTCACCAGGCAATTCAAATAGGAGATTCCCATTTTAAAGGGAGCATAAAAGTGCTTGCTTTCGTGAAGTATACAGATGGAAAAATACTCCAGCCTAAAATACTCCAGCCTAAAAATGCACAGCACTGAGCCTAATGCAACATTGCTGAGATGAGTCCTGCAAAACCAAAGAACACCATCACAGAGAGGCCGACAGCCTCCTCCCGGCACCCTGCCTCCTGATTCATTTACTCCAAGTTGTTTGTTACAGCTCCAGGGGATCAAAGCTCCTGCTCGCTGACTTCAGAGACTCTCCTTCCCTTTGTTGTCGGAATGGCCTACCAGAAGCAGGGTTGAAATACAGTTTGCTTCTAATAGTTCCACACCTTCTCTCGGCTGTGCAGGACAATATTACCAGGGACAATTTTTAATTTTTAAAATTTATAATGCTTTTCATTAAAAAAAAATCCTTCAAAGCTGAAAAGAACAATTCTGATAAGGCAAGCACTTAGCAAATGTATGAGATGTAAAGATTTTGAATTTCACGTTTTAATGCATTTACACAGTTCAAGCTACTTCTAAATAAATGGAAATATTGTTATGATAATAATATGTGGACATGATAGCATCTCAAATACAGAAATTCAACTTTTCTAACCCCAGTTCCCCTCTCCAGAGACAAGTTTTTGGCCACATGAATGCTGCCCCCATCATTCTAGACATTACGTTTATCTGCTGTATCCACTGTAGATCCATTTTAGCACCCTAGCATGAGGCAGAAAGATAAACTCCTGCCCCCACTGCGTCTCATCCCTCTTCCTTCCAATACATCATATTCACTTCATTACTTCTGCGGCCTCTCTTCTGCAATGCCATGCAATTTCTGCTGGCTTTTATTGAAGGGAGAAGTGGTAGCCTAGTGGCTAAAAGCCTTGGTTCTGGAGATGGACCACTTGGCTTGGAAGTTTTGTCCTTCAGTTTATTAGCTCTGCAATCCTGAGCAATTTACTCAACCTTCCTGGGCTTCTGTTTCCTCACCTGTATGATGAGGAAATGGATGCTAACCACCATTGTGTGGAGTTGCTCGTGATGATGCAAATAATAACACATCTGCAGCCTTCAATGTCCAACACACGGAAGCTCTC